TCTGAGTAAATGCACAAGCAGATCAGTGTCTCACAGTCCCTCATTCCTTTTAGCTACAGATATCAAATTCACCGGCCACCAATTAAACAACTGAGCTTGGTTATTGGAATGTAAGGTGATTGCACAGTATTTAAAGCTAAACTTAGAAAGGTCTTAATATTCTTTTAACAAAAGTCTTTTTTAAGCAGGAGCCAAAAAAATGAAATATCATAAAATGGATTAGCAAAAGCTTTTAGATTTTTTTAAGTAGAGAAATATTTCTCACACAAAGGGAAAGGTAAATATTATCTCCTTTGATGGAAATACATGGTTATGAACTATTAGTTTTTTTCCAATATGAGAATGATGACCGGTAGTTAGGATACAAACCAACAAAAATCACACTAAAGGAGAGTTAGGAGAAACAAATTCAGAGGCTCCCTCCCTTCTAATGAAAGTACCTTCACTTCCTATGTAGAAAATGGGAAGATATACATTGTTTCCTATTGCTCTGTATCTTAAATAACCAAGAAAGTCCATATATTTGGAAAAGGTTTTGTAAGTGATATGCCAAACCTCTTTAAGGGTTACACAATAAACTGCTTTATTCATTAATTTCCTTCACTCCTTTCACTAAGCAAGCAAGTTTGACAAGGTATGGGGGAATTTTCTCTTTCCACTAGGTCAGTACCCACCCTGCCATAGAGCCTCAGTGAGAAACTTTGATTTTTTTAACTACTTCAACCTTTGATCCCACAAATGCTTATGGGTTCCCAATACCCAGTCTTAAAAGGAAACCTGGTGCAAAGTTACAGCATGAGTTATCTTTCAGCTAGAAGAAGCAGGTGTTTTCTCCTTCTCCTTCTCATCGAGATCTAGATTAGGAGAACACTCTCTGCCCACTGGAGAAAATGGCAGGAGAAAACAGGTCAGTATGACAGGGGATCTCAAGATGATCACACACACACACACACACACACACACACACACACGCACGCACGCACGCACGCACGCACGCGCACACGAATTGACTGGGAACTGAAGAAGTGGCTCAGCCATTAAGAGGGCTTCCTGCTCTTCCAGAGTTCATTTCCCAGCACTCGGGTGGCTCACAATTGCCTGTAACTCCAGCCCAAAGGGCTCAGGAGTCTTCTTCTGTGGGCATCCACGCTCATGTAGCACATGCTTGCATGCACATACACACACAGGCACGAGTGCACACATGCACACACACGCACATACACATGCACACACACACTCACACACGCACACGCGCGCACACACCCTCTACAAAACTTGAAATAGCCAAAAGTAAATGAGTACCAAAGACAGGCCGACAGACTCTTGTGGTGGTGGAGGAAGCATGTATCTTGACTGTGTTGGCAGTTGCACAGATGCATACATGTGACAGCATGGTAGAACACACAAAGAGCCAGTACAAAGCTATGTAGATCTTTGTGAGGCTGTCAGTCTGTAGCAACGCCAATCTGAAATCTGCTACCAATGCCTAAATGGTAGAGATGACATGAATACTATCTGTGCTGTTTTTTCCTGTTGCTTATAGCTTTACGTCAATCTACATTACCAAAAAAACAATAATAGCAAACAGTGAGATTGTTACCAAAGCTTGCTTTACATTAGCAAAACACTGGAACCAAAATAATACAACAAACCTATATGCCAATACATTAAGAACACAAAATAGCATGCTTTTAGGCTTACGATACAGAAAATATTCACATCCAGAAACCAAAAGGAATGGGATTTATAAGATATGCAAGGACAATGTAACGTTCTTGAAAAAAATAAAGCACATTGGTAGACGTATACACCAAAGTGCCTCGGCGACTCTCTGTATATTAAGGCCATGAGTGATGATAAATGTTTCATGTTGCTTCTCTGTGCTTTCTGCTTTTCTTTCTCTCCCTCCCTCCTCCCCCCACCTCTAAAATGAACAACCTAGCAAATACATAAAAGGCTATCTTTTTTATGGCTGACGCTCAGGATAATCTTGTATAAGGAAAACATAACGGCAAGAGCAAAAGCAAGGGAAATGGGAAGAGTGTGTGGAACGACATTCCACTTCTACGTGAGGACATATAAGCCACCCCGCATGTGCATGGAACAAGACCTGCTTCCTTCTGAGGCCATGGTCTCTAACAAGCATGGTGCTTCCCAGGGCCTGCTAAATTCTTCATCCGCAATTATGTGCCCAGGAGTCTACTTACACAAGTTGGGAGAGTGAATCCAGCTGCCTTCCCGTTCTAAAACTTCAGACCATTCGCTTTTTGCAATGAATTTAACAGACACACCTCTCAGCTTTAAAAGCCCATGTTAGATTTCAAAGTACTTTCACATACGCTATTTTGTATTAATCTCAGTCCGGTACATTATTTTTACCCTGACCTTAGCAACACGTCCATAAAGCAGTCAGGGCAGGTATTACTACCTCCTCGTTAATGAAGAGAAAATGGAGACAACCAAAGAGTCATCTAGGACGTGATGCCTTTTTCTTGACACAGGGCCCCATCCTTATTCCCTCCAGCCCTGCCTGGTGACTCTCTTCCTACCAGGGTTTAGAAGTTTAGTAGACATGGTTAAAGAAAGAGTTCCAGAAAAAGGAAAATCCAAGTCTTAGCATAGCATGGCTAATAAACATCAACAATAATAACACACATCTGATTGTCCTCGGCAACCAAAACAGGGTTCAGTCAATGTCACGTAGCAATGTATCAATTAGTTCAGCTCAAAAATGGTGACACATAAAAGCAGTTGGTTGGCTAGAGCAGCTGTACAGGCTGATGAGCCTCGATGGCAGCCTCAGTGAGCATGATTGTCCCACGCCTAGGTCATTTTAGTCCCAAGTAAGGCATCCATAAGTTGGTCTTCTGGGTGAGCTAAATAATGAAATTAGGTTCATACTGGGCTTTAATGAAGTAGGACTTTGTTTCTTGGAGCCACAGAATTAACAGAAGAATTCTGTATTTATTTTGCAGTGGCAGCAGATTAAACACTTCAGAAATAATGTGGCAATTCACCAAAGAGGCCTTAGCTAGGTGCTATCTGAAGTCATGAAATTGAGTGGGAAAACATATACATGGAAACGGCTTATATTATGTTATAGAAAAACAAATCCAATTTCAGATAAATGGTACTCCTCACAGAGCACCTTAAATGCGACATCATGCTCCCTGGCTGACGGAGCCCTTTATAGACACACATCATTTTCTGCGTGTCGTGCCCCGTGTTCATACAGCCTTTCACGCTGCTAGAGGGGGAAGCTGTGGGGTCAGCAAGGTTAAGGGCAGGTCCCTGCCACAGTTGCCGGGCAGAAGTACTAGGATCGTACCCAAGATCTGATGATTCCTAACTAGCGCAGTCCATTATTAGTCCTTTTTCTCGAGACTGGGAAAGCGTGCACCCTTTGTAAACAAGAATGGAAAGGCTCTTATGACGGCAAATTGTATTCCTGGAGGTGCAGCGGTCACGTGGGGGTGCTTTGAAGACCAAGGAGCACAACAAAGCTGCCTGCACACGTGACAGCACATGAGGAGACACAAGTGGGGTGTGTCTGCGGCCGGTGGATTCAACACGTTTGTGGGGTTAATCGTGTGGTTTCACCATCTCATCTGGTCATTTGCCAAGCAGTCAGTAAGCACCTACCATGTTCCCAACTCTGCTTGCAGCAACAGGATTTCTGCAGTGACTCGGGCAGACAGAAGTTCCAGACCTGGTAAAACGCACACGGAGCTCCACGGGAGAATGAGAGAATAGAAAGGGAGCTTGAAATGGAAGGCTTTGCTCTAATCCTGGCCAGGTGGCCATAAGCAAATTATTTGAATCTCCCGGAGTCTCGGTTCCCTGGCTTCTAAATGGTGTATAATAATATCTGTTTTTATTGTATCATCTTTTATTAGACAGAATGCTAGTTTATATGAGTTTATATGTGAAAAAAAAAACCTTAACTTGCTCTTTGGTCTTGGAGAAACTGAGGTAGTTGAAGAGACATAAAAGTTTTATTCTCATTATTAAACCCTTCAAAATATTTCATTCCATATTTTCCATGATCTAAGCTTTCTCCGTTTAATGTTAACCATGTGTAAGACTTGCTGGGTCACCATGAGGTCACTCTTCCATACCTAGCCACCAATTTCAAAGTCTGTGTTACTGGCTTAAGATGCCACAATTATGCATGCTTCCCTTATTACAGGAGGAAGTAGGGTTTAAATTGTATCTTACCGATTGTCTCAGTCAACCATTTATAGAAATGCTATTTCTTGACTTGTTCTTTGGGAACAAATCCATTGCAATTATTATTCAAATCACTTAATAATTCTCCTTCTTATTGTCCTCCATTGTGATCCTTCATTGTGAAAGCAAAACAGGAGCTGGGTAGGTGTAGGTGGACACGCCATGGGGCCACAGGAAAGACTGCTTCCCAGGACCAAGCCACACTTTAGTAGCAGAAGCAATGAAAGCAAAACCCTCTTCCATAACTTCCCTGTTCCTTCCACCCTGAACCAAAGTGTGCATGTTGGAGGAGAGTTCAACCTATGTTTTATCAATCTATCAAATCGGAGTCCCGTCTCTTTGACACTGGAAGTCAGTACTGGCCAGGCATTGACCAGCTGTGAGGATAACAATTAGCAAAGTCATTATTTGTCAGGAAAGCTTCCATGGACTTCAAGAAGCACCCAGATTACCGCTGTGCTGAACAAGGCCTCAGGTCTCCCTGCTGCTGTCGCTGACCTTTGCAACAAACAGATCCGTGAGGGCGGGCGCCATCCACAAAACACAGACGTGCATACTCCAATGCTGGGTATACTTCTTTTTTTTAAAGTAACAGATGTTGAGGGAAAAATGTGCACCAAGAAGCACAAAAGCTATAATTTAAAAAATAAGTAACTACTCGAAAATCACAGATTTTGTGTTGGTTCCTTCTCCACACTCCCAGCTCCCCTACCTTTTCCTGCCACCAAAGGGGAGGGACAGAGACTAGAGGAGCAAGGACGGGTACTCACTTCATCTCCAAGATCTCCTCCAGCTGTTTCCTCCTCTCTAGACGGAGGTTGGCCAGGTGTGCTTCCTTTTCCGCCAGAGACTGCTGGGTGGAGGCGAGGCGCGCTTTGGTGGCGTCCAGCTCCTGTCTGGTCTTCTCCAGGGCCTTCATCAGCTCCTCTATCTGAAAGACACATGGTGGCGCACACGTCATCTCTCCCTCGGCCACACCCAAAGGCATGTGTTCTCAAGAAACCCAGAGGGACAACGGGTCACCTACAACTACATACAAATGGAGCTCAGTCGTACTGTGTCGCTGGCGGAAAACAAAGCTTTCGTACAATCTCCCAAACTCCCCAAGGTCTATTCAATTGGATTGGCCATTGATATTTATAGAAACTATTTAACATACCTATTAGAAGGGGGTTGCTTGACCCAATTTCAACCTATGGTGGTTCATCACCTCAGGTACTTCCTCCCAGCCAGAAGGAAGTAAGACTCAAATACACTTTGGCTGGCACTATATACTTTTGTGTGTAGGCCTGAGAGTGCTTTGACAGAAAGTTAATCAGGTGCTTCAGATTCATTCAAGTTTTAACCCATCAAGACCTTGTTTGGTCAGAGGTATTTGATGTCCGCAGAGTCCTTCTCACCCCACTTCCCTGACTTACACTCAGGAAGCAGAGTTTGGCCAAAGGTAAACAGAATTCTACCCACAAAGGGTTCAGGTTTGGTTTGCCCCTGAAGCTTGAGAGGGTTCTAAACTTGAAATAAATGACATGTAACTTTTATAGGGTGCTAATACACCATAGAAATAAGCCAGACTATCAAATATCTAGGATTTTCAGCCAGGTCTCCCTCTCCCCCCACCCAAATTGGACCAAGGAGCTCTGAGATAAATCCTTACCCTCCCCCAAACCATTGGGGGCTTTTAAAGCCAACACACAACAAGGAGGATAGGTGTTTATGGTCATGTTCCAGAGACTTCCATGAAGCAAGCTGGTAAAATGTCATTCCCTGTACAGATGCAGGCTGCATCCACCCTGCTGATTCAAAAATCATGGTTCAGGAAATTTCTAGATTCCAGAGCTGATGTGTGGATTTCTAAGGCTCTCCTTCCAGCTGAACTTGGCAGCATGGGCTCATCCATCACTAAAGTCAACAGAAAACCCTTCATAATGTGTCAATGACATGTTAGGCCCCAATTCATAAAGACTTGCTACATAGTTTCTGCAGTTTTACATGGACTTCATTCAGAATAAGCATTAAAGTTCAGGTTCAAGGTAAATTGCATGCTTTTAAGAACAGCCTCCGTCTTGCCCTGATAAAAAGAGGCAACTTAATGAGCCTGTAAATCAAAACTAGAATGAAAAACTTTTAAAATTAAGGAATATAAAAGATAATCTACAAAACTCACAGAATCATGTACATTTAACTGTAGACTCCTTAAGTACATACAACTGAAACAGCAATTAAGCTCTTGGGTTTCTCATAAAGGTCATTAAATATGACTAGAAGCCCTCTGAAAAGCAACATGTCAAAAGCAGTCTATTCCTTTATATAGTTATTATTACATAGCAGTATTTCAAAAAGATATCACAGGCTGGAAGGAGGGCTCAGTGGATAAGAACAGGCACTGCTCTTTCAGAGGACTCCCCTTCAGTTTCCAGCACCCCACTTCAGGCAGCTCACCACTGCCTCTGACTCCAGCCCCAGGAGATGCAACACCTTCTGGTCTCTGTCAACATCTACACACACACACACACACACACACACACACACACACACACACACACACTCAGTTAAAAATAAAAAGATAAAAAGAAAGCTCCAAAGACCAATTCAGAGAATGTGACTGACTCTTCACATGGGATAGCCTGTGTCCCCCTAGACTCCATTTTCTGTCACAACGTTCTTTACTTCAAACAGACTATTTATTCCAGGGATTCTTATTCCCTCTTATTAGCTGAAACTGAACTGTTCGAATCTGTAGACCCAGAAATACCAAATTCAGTTGGGCTCACAAATTGTCAGTTCTCCTGCCACCATTTTGCTTGTGGCAAGTGGCAGCTAGCTTCACAATATCCTAACCAAACAGCTTTTAGCCAGTGACAGTCGGCAGCGTCCGTGTGTTGTCTCAGCAATGCTGCATGTAGAACCTGGGCACTTGAGAGGCGCAGTACAGCGCTTGAATGGTGGAGACCGCTTGTCCTCGGCATTCTTCTGTCCTACCATCAGCTGAGACTGGTGTCCCCATCACACTGCTTGTAGGGTTTTCAAATAGTGCGTCAGGCTATGACAACCCCCAGCCCAAGCTATGAGTTCCTAGACAGAAAGTGCTGCCTGCTGAGGCACTGGCCTCTGGTCTACAATTCCTGCTGCTGCCACCTGCAAACAATCACTCTCTCAGGGTATGTTTCTAGGCCCTGCCCATGGTTACACTAGGTTTAATGTTTTAGAGTTCCATGAATGACTCTCTTTACTCTCCAGACATGAACACCAGGTATTCTCCCTGTGGTAGTAGTCATTAGGTCAGGTTTCACTGTTCCAGTTCCCCACAAAAGCCAAAGACTACATATGAAAACATAAGTTTTCTTTTCCTTTATAATTATTATAATTAATGTTATATGTGTTATAATATTATAATGTTATAATATTATTACAATTAATGCTATTATAATTAATAACATTATATCTAGTTAAGATACCACCAAATCCCATCACATGGAAATAAATATTATAACACTTCGTTGCAATTTTCTACCTCTATACGCAGAGGTTGTATGCATGTATGGAAATACGATTTTATAAATAATGCATCTTGTGTACTTTCCTTTGTCATTGTTTTTACAAATTAGCAGTGCTATGGTCTCTCCATTTTCCTAACTATTACACTTTCCTTAGTGTTGGGGTCTGAGGTTTGTGCCCACCCCAGAACTCATATGCTAAAATCCTAAATCCCAAGGACATGGCATTAGGCAACAGAGTTTTGGGCAAAGGACTAGGTTATGAGGGCAGAATCCTAATTGATGATTAACCTTTGGTAAAACAAGACCAAGGGAACTTGTTTCTTATTCTGCCATGTAAGGGCCTGGAAAGAATTCAGCACTCTTCCATGGAGGAAGTCAGCCCTCTCCTGAACTAGACCATTCTGGTCTGTTGTCTTGAGTACCCCAGCCTCCGAAACAGTGAAAAAGCTCTCTTCTGGGCTGTAACCGAGTCTCTTCACTGATAACGGTGATAACTCCCGAGCAAGTCAGGACTGTATGGCACAAAGCAGTTTAGGTGAAGCTTTTAGTGCCAGGACTGGCAAGTGGGGCATTCGGTGCATTCTTCACACATCAGGCAGCACAGAAGGTTGCTTAGACATTTTTTTAATGAGTGAGTCACTTACAACTGCATAGCACTGGATTATGGAATTTCTGGGCCTCAAGTTCCTCACCTATGAAATGGGGCTAATAACAGCTCAGCTCAAAGAGCCTCGTGAGAATTAGTGGGTCACTTTTCTCCTCACTGTGACCAAATACCCCTGAAGAAGAGACTTAAGGGACGAAGCATTTATTTTCACTCACAGCTTAGAGGCTACAGTGGCAGATAAGACTCATGGTCGCACCAACAGGAATGTGAGGTTTGTTCACACTCTTGTCTGGAAGCAGAGGCAGGTAGATGCTGGTCTGTGGATTACTTCCTCCAATTCTAGTCTATTCAGGGTTTTAGCCTATGGGATGGCACCGACCATGCTCAGCGGCAGTCCTTCTCTTTAGTGAGTCTCTGAACACCCTCACAGACACATCCAGAGGCGTGCCTCAATTCCTAGACGATTTAAAATCACATCCATATGACAAGAAAGACAGCAAGAGCTCGGCACTGTAAGAGAGGTGGCTCTTATTAACCAGTGCCCAGCGAATGTTTGACCCCCTTATATGTTTGCTTGTTACTGCATTCAAGGATTTTGGGCTTGCTGTCACCTACCTCCAGCCACATGGACATGTGAACGTATACTTCTGAACTGTCCTTCATTCTCTTCTATTCACCAAAGGGGTGCATCTTTCAATGCCCTGCCGACACAGGACCCTTTCACTCCACTCATTACTCTTGAGCGGTCAGAAGCTGGAACTCCGCAAACAGACCTGGGTCAAGTGTTGTTTGCATCTACAGGATCATTGTGATCTTACATGGCTTTTGTTTTTCTTTAAGATTTTTTTAACATTTTAGTTTTGAAATTAAAATATAATTACATCATTTCTATCCATTTTAATTCTTTCTTCCAGCTTTGTAAAACCCTACCCTGCTCTCTCTCTGTCTCTCTGTCTCTGTCTCTGCTCTCTCTCTCTCTCTCTCTCTCTCTCTCTCTCTCAAATTCATGGCCTCAATTTCTTTAATTGTTCACACACACACACACACACACACACGCGCGCGCGCACTCATGCCCACACGTAACCAATGCTTTAGCTTGCTACAGATTAAAATCACTTATGAAGTTAGAAAAACTCCAATGCTGAGATCACACACATGGTTTAAGCAAGGCATCTATATTTTATTAAAGATCCAGGTGATTCCAAAGTGTGGGCAAGCCTGGGAACCCTGGGCATTTTTCCTCTCTTTAAACTTGCAAATCCTTCCTTATCGGGTAGAAAGACAGAGCTGTCCTGCAGGACTGACAGAAGCCCAGCTCTCTGCCCCACCCTACGGGGCCTTTGCTATCCAAGATCCCTCTACCCAAACCAGGGGTGCTTGGCTTTCCAGAGTCTGCACCAGTTCTGCAGGATACACGTTTGGCTGCTGTAGCTGGACTATACAATCCCCCAGAGATCAGCACCCATCACTGCCCTGTATTCACACCTAACAAACCCTACACAATGGGGAGACTAGGAACATAATGACAGTTTTTAACACTCACTCTGAGCCATTTCATGCAATAATGAACCATTAAAGCCAACCACGATGCTTTCTGCCCTTCAAAACCTTGGCCTCCATTTGCCTAGAGTACACTTCCTTCTCCATGGAGACAGGGTACTCAGAGACCAAGTTTTGAAAGGATGAAGGCCAGGACTCACTGATGCCTGGCAAGAGCAGGTCTCCGGAATCCCACAGTGGCCTAATAAAAGTGTCCTCAGTTCTGTGATGGAGTAGAGCCCAGAGGTTCTGAGGCCTGCTCTGTACTCTGCGTGTTCCCTCCTAAGC